TTTGTCATGTCATCCATGTCTTTAGTAAAATGCGTCTAGTTTCACAATGTCTCGGTAAATATTGATGAAAATTTTATCAGAGATAGCTATTATCTAGGGCTTTAAAATGGCGAAAGTCCGAGCTCAAAAGGATTTGTTATTATCAAGTCATAGAGTCTACAATGGTCGTACAACGTTTTACTAATAACTCTCTTGTAACTCATTCTTTTGGGATGGAGATTTCACCGCTGACCTACATTTATTGAGAACCATATAAACTGCAATTTTCAGCGACACAGCTCGTATAGTAGCTGAGATCCGAGGAGGGACATACTTTTGTCAAGTAGTGTATATAGTCAAATATCCAAAAGAAATATTTTTAAATTGATTTCACATTAGGAAACTTTTAGTCTATTCTTTCTCTTTAGCTCTAAGCAGTTTTTTTTTACTCGTACAAATAAGTTCGTTCATATATTGTGTGCACACTTCAATAGAAAAAGAAAAATATCATTGTTTGAAAATGATAGTGATCATGATATGATAATTTTTGTGACAAAAGAAACCTAATAATTAAAGTAACTTCGTTTGAATTATTAGATCAATCCATAGGCAATTATATAAAATATTAATTTATGAAAAGCTTCAATTTTAAAACTAGTATGTAGAATTTGAATGAGTATCCAGGCAATATTTTGAATCTTTGTTCAATTTAGCTTTTTATCGTTCAAAAAAAATTCTTTTCTTGTATTTTCTCAAAAGGATTGAGGGTGTGTGGGGTGTGGGTGTGAGTGTATGTGAATTTTGGTTCACTTCCTATGATCCATAATAGATTTGATTTTCATTACTCAAACTTCCATTCAATAGTTGAATATTTATTGCTTAATTTCTCTTACCCATATTTTATCATTTGGAATGTAGTATTTTTTGTTTTGTCTGATTTATTTTTCCAACAATATGTGTTGCATTATTATTATATTATCTTTTTGCTTTAACTGCGTAATGAATTTTGAGACATGATAGAATGTCTTGCTTTAGATTAATATCTTTTCGTCATTTCATTCAACGTTCGTTTCCATTTAGTACAATCAATCCTTTCTATTACATGGAAAGTTTACAAGAAAAATCTAAATTAGCTGATAAACATATTCAGCAATTAATATCTCCTATTGATAATATCGGTAGGAATAAGTAAAATTGTATTTTATTTTATTATATTTATTTTATATTATACAGAACAACTTGATTCAGAAGTACATATTAATGTACTTGATGAAAAAAATATACGATTAAAAACAGGTGTACAAAATCCTACTGATGAATTAGTTAGACTAAAAAATCAATAAGAAAGTAAATATATTTTATATTAATACAAAAAATTAATAAATCTGCTTTCTTTTTCTTCATTTTCAGTAACACAACATTATGATTTTGTAAACAAAATTTCAATAGTTTCTAATCAATTAACTGTTCAACATGAGAAATCAGTTAAAGTTTCACAATCAACAGCTTCACCTATTCCTAGTGAAGATCAACAAAAAACAAAAGAAAAAAAAAATTATTAAAGAAGGTTATATAAAATTGAATAAAATATTCTAAATAAAATCTTATATTTATATAGAAAATCTAGAAAAACCAGCAGCTAATACTGCAATGGATATAACACGATTTAATTTACGTATTGGAAAAATTCTATCAGTTAAAAAACATCCTAATGCTGATTCTTTATATGTTGAACAGATTGATGTTGGAGAAGAAAAACCACGAACAGTATACTAACAATATTCATTAAGAAAAAAAAAACACAAATTTTTTTTATTTTTGTGTACTCAAAAAGTGAGTACACTCTAGAATCGGTCAGTGTGTCCGGCCGTTAACACGATAACTTTCAAAAGGAGAGTCCAATCGCGATGAAATTTTCTACACAGTTCAGTCTTAACAATATCTCGGTCGAGTTCGAAGATGAGAAGGATTGGCCGAGCCCTTCCTGAGTTATTGCAAAAATACTCATTTTTTCCTGCACCTTCCCTATGGAAAGATCGACCCATCCCCACTTTCGTAAAAGACTTTTCCTATCATAGTCAACTAAAACCCCAACTATTATATACCATTCGATAGAGAATTTCACGAGCTACAAAATCGTATATAAAACATAAAGAAACAAGAAGGTTGGCTCATCTATCACAAAGATAATTGAAGAGAACTAGGTTATATTTTTGTCCACAATCTAATTGATCCATAAATAGAGCTCTATCTTCCGATCACAGTGATGATACTTCGAGGTTTTCTGAGATGGAGAACTCGAATCTGTATTCCACTTCCATCGAAATACTATTGGTTGAGCAGTGACCACTAAAAATCAAGTTATAGGAAAAACGACTTTCTTAGGGTAAATCGAGGGGAAGAGTTCAAATTTGAACTGTATTCGGTCCCAAGTCCTATTGGTTTGGCAATACTCAATAGAAATCAACAGTTTAGAGGGTAGGTTCTCCAGTATAATTTTGATGTCCACACGCTCTAGAACGACTCATCTGTCTCATTCACTTTTTGAAGTACACATAACTCTCGGATTTAAATCCGAAGTTTCCGCATTTATTTTATTTAGGTATGTAGTGGTCTTCTAAAATATATGCAACCAAGTGATGTAAGTTATGAAAAACATTAAAAAAAAAACAATCATTATTTTTCTCTATTAATACAATTATTTTAGCTTGTTCAAAAACTTGTTATTGTTCTATGTAATTTAAAACCAGTAAAAATGCGTGGAATTACATCTGAAGCAAGTAAGTTTAAAGAAATAAAATCATTTAATTAATTAATATATTCGATTTTTTTTAAATAGTGCTTATGTGTGCATCAACACCAGAAAAAATTGAATTACTTGAACCATTAAGTGATTGTAAACCAGGTGATCGAATTGAATGTGATGGTTATAATTGTTCATCACCGCATGCACAAATTACAAAAGAATTATCTGATCAAATTTTACCTTATATGAGTACAAATGAAAATGGTGAAGCAACATTTAAAGGAACTTTATGGCGAGTAGCTAATGATAAAGATGTTATCAAATGCAAAACTCTCGTTAATGTACCTATTAAATAATATGTTGAAAATATTTTTTTTCCACTTATGATGATTCTACCCATGGAAAAATTTTCCAACGAAAACCGCGAGAAACCGCGGTTTCGCAAACTGCGGTAACCAACGATTTTCCGAAACCGCAAAAGTCAGACCTTTTATGAGGTTTTTGAAAACCGCCAAGAACCGCGGTAATTTCACACCACGGTTTCCATCGGCATTCAAAACCGCATAAAAGGTCTGACTTTCGCGGTTTCGAAAAACCGTTGATTAACGCGGTCTGGAAAAACCGCATAAAAGGTCTGACTTTCGCGGTTTCGAAAACCCGTTGATTACCGCGGTCTGGAAAAACTGCATAAAAGGTCTGACTTTCGCGTTTTATTCAAGCGGTAATGACCGCGCTGTACAAATACCGCAATTTTTAGTGGTTTTAAAAAACCGAATAAAAGGTCTGACTTTCGCGGTTTTCTAAAACCGCTGGAAACCGCGGTTTTTTAGACCGCTATATACCGCGATTTCCGTGGCCACACCTGACTTAGGTATGGCCAGACTCATCTGAACTTATGACAAAGTTCAGATGAGCGACTCTTCAAGGGGCCTGTAGTGAACTTTTAGAAGTTCCATTACCACAAAGTTACTTTGTAGTGAGAGATAGAATAAGAAAACTTATTCAAAATTTTCATGAAAATAGCGGGGCACGACATCCTCTTCGTCTTTACACATTCCATCGCGATGGTATAAGCACCAAAAATACCGCGGTAATAAATAACGCGGTATTTATCACCGCAATTATTGATAACTGTACTGCGGTTTTAGAAACCGCTCAATACCGCGGTATACACCACCGCGACTATCGATGACTATACCGCGATTTTAAAAACCACTCAATACCGCGATGTTTACCACCGCGGTTACTAAAGACTATATCGCGGTTTTTGAAACCGCTGAATACTGCGGTATTTATTGCCGCAATAACTATATCATTATACCGCAATTTTTGAAACCGCTCAGTACCGTCTTACTTACCACCGCGATTACTGATGAATATACCGCGGCTTAAAAAACCACTCAATACCGCGATATTTATCACTGCGGTTACTGATGACTATGCCACAGTTTTCAAAACCGTTGAATACCGTGCTATGAAATACCGCGGTTTCCAATTACTATACCGCAAATTTTTAGACCGTTGAATATCGCGGTATTTAGAACCGCGATTATGAATAAGAGCAACGCGGTTTCAGAAAACCGCGGTTCAAAAACACCGCTACCAACCGCGGTTATCCAATCCAAACCGCGGTTTCGTCTAGTAAAACCGCGGTCGAATGAAAAAACCTGCGGTTTCGAGCGGTTTTTCGGAAAAAATTTTTCCGTGGGTGTGATAAGAATGTTTTCATCTTCATATTATTAAAAAATTTTTTTTAATTTCATGAAAAGAAAAAAAAGAATAATATGATAAACGGTTTTAAGTTATCCTAATTGATTTCTTTTTCTATGCTTTGAGAACAAGTAAAAATGATTGATTTAAGTATATGACAAACAATAACAATATTGAAAGGATATATTAATGAATATATTAAATCATTAAGGAAAAGATTCAATGATTGTTCATAATTTCAAAATCAATATGACAAAGTATTTGAGACGAATAGATACTCTGCTTCATTCTATACCAAACAATCTTTTATTGTACTCATTCAAGAGATAAATCTATCAAATGAAATAGTCATTTTTCATCAACTGATCGAGTTTTTACGTAAACAAGGAAAATATTTTCATCTATCCCCTTTGATTTGTTTTTCAAATAATAGTCGTATAATATTATTATCCTACTTATTAATTTCAATCTATAGATCAGATCTTGATAGTCCGAAATGCTGATCAAATATTTATGAAAATTAAAAGATTAATACTTCAAAAATAGATTCATTATCAAATTTCAATTAATCTTATTTACTACGATCCCTATTTGTATTATAGAGTGTTCTCTATTGAAAGAAAGTAATATCAATTATTTTTAATTATCAATGAAATTTATATAACATCTATATATGAATATATTTAAAAATAAATATATGATAATATTGATTGATTTATGAAGTGGCAATTATTCTCACTTACTCGTAGTCATTTTTTCTTCTTTAGACTCGTCTATTTCACATACTCATATTTTTTTTTTCTGTTGATTGGTTTATTTCTGTTTTTCTTCTTTCTTTTCTTCAGTCAGCTCTCACTTTGTCTTTTTCTTTATCTTTATCGTTTTGTTTGTCTTGTTTTAACTAAAACAATATCTATTTTATTTTTATTTTTTCCATGTGACAGTTTATTTTTAATCATTTTTGCACTGTCTTAGTCTAAAATAACTATTGCTTAGTCTTGACTTTTATTTATACAAGAAAAAATATTAAAAAAGAAAACTTTCTGTCATTGTTAAGAATATGTGTATCTGTCGTTTTGATACTTGTTTGACTATGAGAAAAGAGATTAAAAAAAATGTCGTATCATCAACTAAAAATATTGTCGAAAAAATGCTTATGAGAAATAAAGATTATAAATCAATAACGATAAAAAATCTAAACTATTCAAATGACGAATACAATTCCAATGTTTTATTATGTAATATTTTGTATATATAAGTTTGAAATTTAATAAAGATCTAATAAAATTCAATAAAACTAATTCAAATTTTTTCATAGAAGTTCTATAAGAATTTTCTATATTCTCAATGATATTATGTCAAACAGTAACAACTATCATTGTATAGACTTCATAATTCATCAGAAAACTTTTCTTAATATATCAAATTTAATAATTTTGTTTTATGATAATAGAATTTTTATTGTGTAAAATAAAATTTGAAAGAAAATGTATCTCATTTTATCAAGATTAGTCGAGTCCGAGTCACATTTTCTTAATGAGTCGAACTCAATAATTGGAAGATGTTGATTCGATTGTGTGACCCGAGTCATTCATTCCAAACACAAAAACAAAACAAAAAAAGTTTATTTAGAATTATAAACAAAGACAATTTATAAAATAAAATTTTTCTCTAACTCATATCTTTTGTTCTAATTAAATATACTGCATTAGAAAGTCTTTTCAAAAGATTTTTTTTACTTACAGTAGTCGCCGTAAGTGGACGCGCCCTCTATTTTTGTTCTACAATGAGATTTGTTTCATCTTTTTGCTTTGTTTGAAGGGGCTATTGATATTCATCATCGGGAGTAAATACGAGCATTTATATTCGTACTGCCACCAATTTATAACTAAATAGAAACTAGACGTTTTTATTTCTTTTTTTTAAAGAAAAGATGATAAATCATTTTTCTATGAAGGCAGAGCTATGTCCCATACGTGTCAAATACTAATATTTTACAATATTTATACGTATCAGTGAGTCGATTGTAAAATGTGAGCTTAAAAGGTACGAAATAGCTGCTGACGTATAAGTTGCATAAAACTCGATATATACCGGAAAGAAAAGATGTAACGACTCCGTTGAGGATAGCTCAACATTTAATCGAATCTGTCGGTTGAATTGCATTTAGGTTATCAAAAAGAGGTATAAAAATTAGTAAAACAATGCTAAAAAGAAGATTTAAAAACTCCAGGTGTACATTCAATGAAATCGATCTCGAAATCATTTCTAACAAGTGACGATATTTTAAAAAAAGATTTAAGTGGAATATAAAACTCACAGACTATAACTCAATTGAAGATATCTGCGCATTGGTGAAGCTAAGAATAAACAAAGAACCGAATGTGTTGATCAATCATTTTATTGAAAAAATGAAAAAAAAAGAATGAAGAAACTTAGCTAATGAATCTAATGAAAAATTAGTCGATTCTATGGAAAATAGAGTAGCATTGTTAACAGAAAGAAAAGGCGACTATATCAATTATCAGGATGATGCACATATAATGTATATTTCATAAGTAAAATATAATCAAATAACTCCTTTGTCTTCCTCGTTTTTTCGGTCGTGCCCACTTATGGCGAGTACTGTATATATTCATTCATACGGTCATAAATCTTAGCTTATAAGGGTAGAATTTTTTTAATCATTAAAAACTTGAGTTTTGATCATCAAAATAGTCTAACTGTGAAATGATCATCAAAAAATTACTGTTTTTATTACCAGATTTAACAAAAATAACAAATAGAAAAAGTATTTACAACGGTTTCTATGGTTTATTTTTCACGAATTTACTTTCCGTTGATTGTTTTCAATTTTAATTGGTTGTTTCTAGAAAAAAAAAGACTACTCCTGAGAATTTATTTTTTGTTAATTATTTAGATGAAGGAGTGTAAGTATATGACGAAGAATAACTGGCATATATTGTTCACAAAATGGCATAATCTCTCTGATTTAACACTATCACAAAATTGAATAGATTTTAAAAAAAAATTTTTTTCTCTTTCGTTGTAGATGTATTGATGGATTGATCTCTGCAGTAGTTACGATTCCTATTTAATAGGATCTCTTGATATAGGAAGTTGTTATAAGCCATTCATCCTCACCTAGTCTCATTCTTAAGATCAAATAAAATTAGAAAATTTGAGTTTTGTTTATCAAAACATTTGGTTCTATTTTTGTATCTTATGTTTTAGTATATTCGACGATCAAAACATATTTTCCTTTAATTTAACTATAAATAAATCATTTTTATTAGTAAATGGATTTAAGTTTAGATTTTTGGTCATAGAAAACAATATTTTTGTTATTTTGGTATACGATTCTATTAAAAAGAAGAGTTGATTTTAGTGTTCTTGTTGTGTTGTTAAATCTATAACAGTTATGTCATTTTATCTTGTGTACAATTCCCTCTCTCCATATTAAAAGCTTCCCTGAATGGGATCAACGAGTCAGACATAGTATAAGCCCCTCTTTTTAAAAACTTTCTCAAATTTTTTGAAAACTTTTATCATTAATTTCATAGTAAAACTATCAATTTTTCAATGTTTTAAGATAAAAACTTATTTAACTCTTACTTGTTAGCATAGAAAGCTTGAACTACTTATGAAAATTCTTCGTATAGCCTTCAAAAACTCTGAAAATTTCTCAACTCTTTTAAACAATTTTTGAATCTTAAATCTTTGCAAAATGTTGAGACTTAACGGAGACTCTTTCCAAAAATTTCAACGCTTATACAGTTTAGAAGCATTGAACGCTTCTATGATGGGGACAAAGGATTATAACTATTCGATTTTTTTTTTGTACAGAAAAATTAGGAGCTAGAAGTCATGTCATGAAAAACTTATTGTTAACGTTCTTTAGGGAAACAAACAGAAAACGAAAAAAATTACATAAAATATCTTGACTTGACTCGACTAGGAAACCATGGCGAATCAACTTGACTCAACTCGAAACCATTTCGAAATGATTCGGATTCGATTCGACTCGACTCGAAAAATGGTTTGACTTGATCAACCCTGTATTTCATTCAAGGTCAGTCTAATAGTATTTACATCTAATAATTAATGATTATCTACTTAATATAAATAAATTTTGATTAAATAAAGATAATCGATATTTTAATATCTTCTTGAGTACAACTCAAATGATGTTGATGAGTATAGTAATGAATTTTATTCTTATATAACTTGATTGACATTGATAATGTGTTTATTTTGGTCAATGAAAATTTCAGACGTGACCTCAATCTAAATGTAGAAGTTTTTTCCAAGGTCTGTTGAGGATGAAATTGATCAAATAATTTATGTAAGAATTAACCAATAAGTAACATTTTTTATTGATTAAAGAAAAAAAAAGTTTTGTGATTTTCAAATAAATACAATAAATTCATACATATTTCAACTTCTTCTTATTGTTATTAGTTTTACTTTTCTATAATCTCTATACAATAAAAGTTTGTTTTTGTTTCTCTGATATATTTTATTTATTCTCATTTTTTGAATATATTTGAAAAAATCAAAATTTTCAACATATGTCAAGAGCAGATTCTGTTTAGAAAATTCAAATAAGTCATTTTATAGTTGTCTAATTTCCATAATAATAAATTTTCTTTTTTTTGAAACTTTGAATATCTATAAAACATTATTCCAAACTTTGATAAATACTTATTTATAATCTTTTAAAGAAAAAATTAAAAAACACAGACTACTTTTTGATTATAAATAAAATCTAAACATTGAATATTTTTATTATTCTTGTTAAGATCTTTTCAATTCTCTTATTTGATTTCATTTATTCTATCAACTTTCATACTCATTTAATCTATTCTATGATATTAATATTCATTTTTTTGCTTTTATAAAAAATTTATTACATTGTAGACAATAATTACAATTAATCAACAAGATAATGATAATGTATTATATTATTCAAAGATTTATTTTCGAAATCATTTATTCTTTCCATTGTCTTTTCTTTTAGAATCTTTTTATATTTGAAATATGTATATAAAAATTTTTTTTTTTATATATCAGTATTGAATTACTAATGTATATCGAAGCAATTTTAATCTAACAATTTTGATAAATATAAAATGTTAGAAATAATAATAATTATTTGATTAAAATAGAATTTTTTTTGCGAAACATTACAATTATGTAGAAAGAATTAATGAATAATAAAAAGAATAATGATAAATGAAATAAATATTTCTTTTATTTTGATTAATATCACAAATAATATAATAATTAAAAGAAAACATGAAATATGTTTATGTCTTCGATTATTTGTCGATTATTTTCTCAAACCTAATTATATGAATAAAATAATCATTATATTACTGTCATACATTAACTAGACACAGAAAAGAATAAAAATTTTAGTTTTTTTATGAAAATAAAATTTCTAAATGTTTCGATTCATTCAGAATGATTTTGTTCTTGTATTGAAATATTTTTCTTTGTATAGTTAAGAAAATGACAAATTTTTAAATAAAAATTAACAAGTTTTCTTTGAAAAAATCTCTTCAATATTTGAGAATATCAGTATAAGAATTTTGTGTTTTGTTAAATAATCGGAATGATGATGACATTTCAAAATTGGAGTTTTGATTTAATAGATAATGCTCATATAATCAGAATTTCAATAAAAATAATGAAAATACAATCTCATTCAAAGAAATAAAGATAGAATTTCAAATGATCAAATTAATTCATCTGATTTTTCATTTGAAAAAGAAGATCATTATTATAAATTAGATTTTGAAGAAAAAATATTTTATAATAAATTAAAATATCTCATCGATTTATTCAAATCTAATAGAAACGGTTTTATTGAATAATAAATATGACTATCATGTTTTCGAAATGATGTGGGCGTGGGTGTGGATGTGGGTGGGGTGTGAGTGTGGGTGGGTGTGTGGGTGTGGATAATCAAAGTACCAATACCCACACCCACCCACAACTGGGAGATGGGTCTCTCCATTGCGCAAGCATACAGCAACAGTAACGTGACCAATACTAACTCGAAAAGAACACACTTCAGACTTGCTCAGTTCTATAGTAAGTTTCATTCTTCCAAACAAACAACCTTTTTCAGTGATTTCCACTCATCTTCATCAACAACTTCATTGTGTGTTTTATTTCAAGAATAAATCTATTCTTTTTTTCTACATTAATCAGATGAACGACTAAATCGTAAGTTTTATTTTATCTTATTTTATAAATTTATTCTTATTTTTTTTTAGATTCATCAGATGAATGATCAAATGGTAAGTTTTATTTTATTGAATAAATCTATTTACTGTTTTCATTTAGATTCATCAGATGAAGGATCAAACAGTAAGTTTTATTTTATTTAATAAATTTATTCTTTTTTTTTTTGAGTTAGACTCATCGAATGAAAGATTAAATAGTCATTTTGATTTCAATAATAAATCTATCCTGCTTTTTTCATTTAGATTTATCACATCAATGATTAAATGGTACATTTTTTTTATTTAATAAATTGATTCTCTGTTTTCATTTAGATTCATCAGATGAACGATCAAATAGTAAGTTTTACTTCTCTAATAAATCTATTCTTGTTTTTAATTTAGACTCATCGAATCAATGATCAAATGATAAGTTTCATTTGATTTAATAAATTTACTCTTTATTTTTTAGACTCACCGAATGAACAATCAAACGGTAAGTTTTATTTTAATAAATTCATTCTGTTTTTTTTTATTTAGAGTCATCAGGTGAATGACTGAATGGTAAGTTTTATTTTCTTTAGTGTATGTATTATTTTTTTTATTTAGATTTATCAGATGAGCAAGTACCATGGTAAGTTTTATTCTTTGAATAAATTTGTTTCTTTTTTAGGTTGGTATGAAGTCAGCAACGTATTAGAAACTCTTTAAGGATATATGATTTTCATAAATCCTTGAAGGGTTTATTATTCTACTCTTTGTTTTTACAGTATGAGCACATGGTTGGCATATAGACCGTCTCTATCTTTCATTAGTCCTAAGAAAAAATGACGACATTGACTTGCATTTATACTTATCATGATTCGATAATCGCTTGATTGCACATATCTTTCTATTTACCTAATACACAAAAAAGAACAAAAGAAAAGAAACAGATGAGTATTCAAGTAATAGATACAACTCATTTTTTATGCACGTATTTGCATATGCTTGTCTTTGATTGTTCTTCATAATAGTCTTATCGACAAAAAAATCAAATGGATGATAGACAACCTCTGCTAAACGTATCCAATAAATTCTCTATTGATGATGGTGATGATGATGATGATAATGGAAACAAGAAACAACTTTTGACCAATAGGTATGATCTAATGAATAACTAACTGCAAGAAAAATACGATGAATTTATCATTTTTCATAGTTTTTCTGATTGGTGTCGATGTTTCAGTAGAAAAGGGAAAGATAATAAATATATAAAATTAGATGATGATACTGAACATAGTGACAAAGATGAAGCAGTTGGTATTTTCCGTTTAGTAAGTGCATTCACACGAAATACAAACTAATTGATATATTCGATTTCATTGTAGTTTCGATTTGCAAATCGTATGGATTTTGTCCTGATGTTTATTGCTGCGTTTTTGATAGTGGTGCATACGATTTGCGTTCTCGTTAACCCAGTTCTCTTTGGTCGACTCACAGGAATATTTGTTACTGAACCATTTGGTGATAATTGTGATTATCAACACCAAAACTCAATAGCTTCGATTAAGAACAATAATACATATTCTCAAAGCATAAAGCTCAATATATTCACCAATGATTCGTCATATAAGTAATTCATCAAAAACTATTATTATTTCATATGTACTTCTTTTATTTTCCTTTGGTATTTTTCATCTTAGACTGCGCCATAAGGTGGATGTAATTTTATCATCAACCTTAGCAACGTCATTGCCTTTATTTCGAGAAAAAGTTATGAACATAGTTCACTGGTTATTCAGTAAGTGAAATGAACGTAATAATTTGATTATTACAAATAATGCAAGTTGTCTTTTTCTCTGTCAATGTAGTTACCGGTACTATCGAAGTTCTGGCTGGCTTTCTTGAAAGTTTCATTTGGAACATTAGTGTGCAACGACAGACATTCCGTATGCGTGTTTCTCTCTTTCGATCAATACTTCAACGTGTAAGTCAAATACACTTCCATTTATAAAAAATATATTTTTCAAAAGTTTAATCCTAGTCTCTTCTTAGAATTACTATAGATTAATAACATCTTTTGCGTTTTCTTTTTAAGAAATCCTCACCATTCACAAATTAGCAATTCTAGCAAGTCTATGAAATAAGCTAAAGTATCTAGATAATATCTATTTATATCTAGATATGCCTCTATTTCTAGGACTTTTAGATCTAAAATCAAGGATTTAGGACAAGAGTACAAGTGCATGCTCAATCTCGCTATCCTCTACATACCAAATGCTTTCCTAGAAGCTGATACAAATATAATCGTTTTGAAGTTTTATGGAGCAATTATGATTATTTATTGTTTTATAAGGAACTTTTAACTTCAGTAAAGGATGGCTTCATAATAATGAGGACAGACATCTTCATTATTGATACAGCTTCAGAAATAGTAAAACAAGAAATATTTCTGGAAAACTGAAGTTTAGATAGTGTACTTCTAAAATGATATTGAAAAAATATTGACGAATTGATGTAAATATTTCCATTGTACTACATATTCTCTAGATTACTGTGTATAGAAACGGTCTTACTCTGTACAGAGATGCGCCACTTTAACTCAAACAGATACTTTTATCTACGGAAGTTGAAATGGAATTGAGTCGTCTTAGGAGGAAACCTCTTCAGATGTCCCGTTTCGATTTCAGTGATTTTTTTTACCTACAGATATTGCATAGTATTCTTGTAGAAAATCCAAAAGGATTTCATTTTCTATTGAGATTTGAGGGAGCTATTAAGTTTTTAAAATTTCTGTTTGCCAGAGACCGATGCCAGGCTCCTGGTTGCTAGAAAAATCGTGTTTTTAAATTTTGTCTTCAACCTATCTCAATTTGAAGATCTCATATACAGCACCTTGTATGAAGAGTTTCAGAGTTTGTATATTTCGTATCTCCAAGATACGAATTTTTCAAAATATTGTCGTATCTTGCAATATGCTTCGAAAAGCTTCTGTTTTTGAAGCGCTCGTATCTCGAAAATGCGAAGTCAACAAACTCTGGAATATTTCATACAAGCTAATGTATATGAAACTTTGAAATAGAGATCGTTTGAAAACAAAAATTCAAAGGCACGATTTTTGAGAAAACGTAAACCCCTACAGGAGTCTCCGGCATATAGAAATATTAAGAATTCAATAGCTACGTCAAATTTCAATAAGAACTGAAATCTTCTTACAAGGCAATATTTCCAACTGTCAGACACGGTTACACTTCACATTATGACTACCAGTAGGTCTCGGTGAGACTAAGAAGAACTTAAAATGATTCGAGTCCATGGCCTATTATTGAAGAGGTATGGCCATTTTAATGAAACGTTTAAGTACTGAGAACAAAATATTTTTAAAAGATTTAAAATAAAAAGTTTCGAGCTGAAATTACGCCTATTGGTACGATTGCTAATCATCAGATAGTTCTTAAAATTTCAACGAAACAAACATGTCTTTCTCGATATATTCAATATCCAAAAAAAACGATTTAGGGTAGGAAGACATAGCAATCGAGTTCACTTGGAAATTGACTATCTCAAGAACGACATGTTTGTTTTCGTCGAAATTTTCAGGATTATCTAATGACTCTCAAACGAGCCAATAGACATAATTTCAGCGTACAACTCTTTGTTTTGGATTTTTCTGAAATGTCTTGCTCTTATTTACCATTTCATTAAAACAGCCATAACTCTTCAACAGTAGGCCATGGATCCATATCTTTTTAAGTTTTTCTTAATCTCATCGAGGCCTATTCGTATCCATAATGTGAAGCCAAACGGTGTCTGATAGTTGGATATGTTCGCTCGTTAGTCTTTCCAATACAATGCCATCTAGTATGTATAAGTAAAAAGCCCTGAGTCCAAAGAGAACATCTGGAGTAGTTTGCACGTTAGATTGCTGCTATATTAGAACTTGACATTTGTTGGATGCAGTTTGAGTGGAGTTAGTGTTGACTTACATAAGAGTTCTAGTGGAGTTTGAAGTAATAGATTTTTATCAATAGTGATAAAATTTCTGTTGGACTTGTAGAATGAAAACAAACAAAATTGACAGGGAAAACATAGATTACAGAAGTAAATTTAATTAAAAGGATTCAACTTTTTATAAGACAATTGGGTTGAGCATGACTTTTTACAGCCAGAGTTGCAGTGGAGTTTTCAAAAAAAAATATAAAGTTGAAATTGGATTGTAGTTAGGAACATACAGATGAAGTCGAATTACAGTAACACTCAATCATATGTACCCATCCCTGACTGTTTCTCATTCTCTCTGTTTTTAGAGCATTCCTTATATGGATACCAAACTGACTAGTCAACTCAATGCTAAACTATTTGAGTAAGTCATTGTGATATTTTGTATCAAATAACTCCATCTAATTTAATTATCGACAGTAACATTGGCAAGATTGAGAAAGGCATTGGTTCTGATTTCTTAATGTTGATGGCAATGTTACTGTGCATGATTGGTTATTTAATAGTATCTTTCATTGTCAACTGGCGATTGACTTCGATTATGCTATGTTTGATACCATTGATCATTGGTAGCTCATATGTGTTTTCTCAGGTATGAAATATTATTCAATCAATTAAATATCTATGAATTATTATAGCTCACCGCTAAGGAAGCAATGAATGAGTTGATGACATATTCGAAAGCGGGACAAATCGCTCAAGAAGTGTTTAGTTCATTACGAACTGTTCTTTCCCTCAATGGTAGTAAGTTTGAGCAAAAACGGTAAACGAATATACAAAAATAGTGTGCCTATATGATATCATACAACATGTCGTTATTTTTATTGCATTTAGATATGACAGAGAATTGTATCCAACTTGCTGGAGTAGTATACGCAAAGGTGCAGTTTTTGGGATTTTTATTGGATGGTTATCTCTGATAACCTACTTAGTTTATTCAGTTGGTTTTATCTTTGGTTCTCTTCTTATGTCACACAAAGATGATCATACATTGAATATTAGTGATATTCTTGTCGTGAGTAATTCATATAATCAGTCAATAAGGAAATGAATATAAGATTATTATCTTAATGCAGGTCGTCTCAATCTTTGCAACAGGTTTAAATTTCTTCAGTTTTATTGGTCCTTTCTTTCAATCATTTTCAGAAGCTCGAGGTGCAGCAGCATCGGTGTTTCGACTTATTGACGAGGTAAATCTGAGTCAATTGATGTCTCACATTAATAACAATATTTTGTATTTGTTTACATGATATAGGGGAATGATGCAAGTGTCAATGAAATAGATGTATGGAAAGAGGATAAAGAAGCTATTTATAATCTCAATGGTGACATTGAATTTGACAATATCAACTTTAGTTATCCATCTCGAAAAGATGCATCAGTTCTGCGTAATCTCGCTCTTATTGCTCGTGCTGGTGAGACAACTGCTCTCGTAGGTTCAAGTGGCTGTGGTAAGTGTTTTCAACAACAAAAATTGTACAGTGATCTCATTTGTGTTCATAATTTATTCATAGGAAAAAGTACATGTATATCACTTTTTCTTCGTTACTATGAACCATCATCTGGTCGAATAATGATCGATGGTCGGCCAATAACAGATTACAATGTCAAACAACTTCGACAAAACATTGGAGTTGTTAGTCAAGAACCTGTATGCTGTTTTTTTGTTTTTCTTTTCTCTCTTTCTTTTTAATTCAATATTATAATAGATTCTGTTTGGTATGAGTATTTATGAAAATATTCGTTTTGGTAAAGTAAATGCAACACAAGCAGAAATTGAACAAGCAGCACGAGAAGCAAATGCACATAATTTCATCATGCAATTACCAGATGTTTGCAGCAAATATTTACATCTATCTACATATATGTATCACTATTTCTTGTTTAGAAATATGAAACACTTGTTGGTGAACGTGGTATACAGTTGAGTGGTGGTGAAAAACAACGTATTACATTAGCTCGTGCTCTTGTCAAACAGCCAATATTTCTTTTACTGGATGAAGCAACAAGTGCACTTGATAATATTAGCGAAAAAATTGTTCAAGAAGCGCTCGATCGAGCATGCAAAGGTAACAATTGTTTTTTTCTGCTTAACGAATTGCTATAACATTCTGTATAGGTCGTACAACTATTGTCATTGCTCATCGTTTGACAACAATTCAAAATGCTCATCATATATATGTATTAGATAATGGAAGTGTGATTGAGCAAGGTACACATGAAACATTAATGGCAAAAGAAGGAGGCAAATATCAAACAATGGTTAAACGTCAACAAATGGAAAGAATCAATGATGATCAAGATGATATGATGAGCATACAAAAAGCGACAGAAGAAGATGAAAAGTCGACATGTATGTTAAGAATTCTAATAGTAATAGTGTTTAATTTTCTTCGTCTTTTTTTCATTAATAGTTGAACGCTCTCATTTACTTAGCGATAGTCAAACTGTTGATGTGAACAAAGTACGAATACCACTGCAATTATTTATAAAACCATTAATGATAATCTCTCTTTTAGCAAACTACAAGGCCACTCAGTCGAAGATTTGTCTTTTTAAGGCTCTTGTCAATGAATAGTCCTGAATGGATCACTATCTTGATTGGTTGTATAGCATGTGTACTTAATGGAGCAGCTCAACCTTTGTGTGCATTTTTACTTACTCAAATAGTCGAAGTGAGTGATCCATTCATACAAATATTGTTCAAAAATATCAACAATGTACATCGTTTGTATGTCGATTTGTTTATTGTGTAGGCATTCAAATATTGTTCAACTTCCGAACGACGTCGGCATGTGTTGATTACCAGTTTGCTTTTTCTGCTTTTGGGTGCTCTAGTATGGATTCTTCGTTTCTTTCAAGTAAAAGTGTTGCTTCTGAATTTGATCCATGATTTATTTACTCTTTTCTATAGTATACAGCTTTTTCCATAGCGGGATCGAAATTGACACAGCGTATTCGCTCGAAAGCTTTTGGATATCTTCTTCGTCAAGAAGTTGCTTATTTCGATCGACCTGAGAATAGTTCTGGTGCGATTTGTGTTCGTCTTTCTTCTGATGCATCAGCCGTTCAAGAGATGACCGGTACGCGATTAGGAGTCATCTGTGAAGTTGTTGCATTGTCGTTTTTTGGAATTCTATTTGGATGTTTCATAAGTTGGCAATTAACATTGATCGTTTTTGCTCCTCTTTTTTGCATATTCCTAATTCTCTATGGCGAAGTGCGCTTACGTTTACGAGTGACTCGGCAATCGAATCACATTATTGAACGAGCAAGCATGGTAAGATCAGGTTTTAGCTGATAACTTTTCTTTTTATAGGGAAAATTATTGAATCATGAGTTGTTTATTAAACTCAATACACTATACACTGAAAAAACAGGTGCCATACGGAACAAACGAGGGTTTTGTGCTTGCTAAAAAACTTAAAAATAGTTTCGTACATGGTACGAAACCTTTAAAATAGTTTCCTAGACCGTTGACAATCATTTTGAAGATGTCTTAGGTTCTTACGAAATGTTTTTTAAGGTTTCGGTTTTTGCAACAAAATGGTGCTGTATGATACATTTTTTTTCCATGTATTCATTCTGTCTTTTACTTCTGCAGCTTGTTACTGAAGTTATTTACAACATGCGTACAATGAAACAATTGTCAATAGAAAAAGAAGTGCTACGACAATATTCTGAACTCATTCGTCAAGTATTTATGTTGGTTAATTGAATCTTATACATGCATAAATTATTAATCAATCTTATTTTGTCATAGATTGTCTTGGAAACCTTCTATAGGATATTCAATATCCTATAGCATATACTGGGTACTAGATATATACACAATGGCATTCGTGTATTGGCGTGCTCTCGTCCTCTTTGAGAAGAACGAACTAGCTGCAAACCGTGTCATAATGTAATTGAAGCTACACTTTGATAATTTAGAGACAATGTTTCACTATCTGTTCAATTTATTAGGGTGTTTGGTTTTGCTACTTTTTCGATCAAAGTATTAGGTGTCATTCAAATGATGTAACATTCTTAATGTCAACTTTACGTTTTTCTTGTTCTACTACCTCCATTCTAGGTCTAGTTGTATCGCTGCATCACTGTCGGCTGCTGAAACGTTTTTTGATTTATTTGATCGAAAACCAGTAATAGACAATACATCTATTGAAGGACAAGAATTGGTAAGAGAACATTGAAAATAGTTAGTTTGTTTCAATCATGCACATGCCATGGATTTAATATCACTTGTCTAGGTGGACTTTCATGGAGAGATAAAATTCGATCAAGTCAAATTTATCTATCCAGCTCGGCCAACATCCATTATTCTTAACAAATTTCAATTGAATATCAAGGCAAGTAAGTCGGATAGGTTTCGATTTCATCATTCTTTTTAAAATTTATATTCATTGATAAGGTCAACGTGTGGCTCTTGTTGGTATATTTTAATTAAATGTTTATTTTAAATCTTAACTAAGTAATATGATCTATACAGGTACATCCGGATGTGGAAAATCAACAATTATTCAACTGTTGGAACGATTCTATGATGTTACAAGTGGTCAACTAGTTAGTACTTCTTCAACGTATAGTTTAAATAAACATATAAAATTTCTCTACTTATTCTAGCTTATTGATGGCATCGATATTCGACAACTAAATCTTCATTGGGTTCGTTCTCAATTCGGTCTTGTCAGTCAAGAACCAATTTTGTTTGATTTAACGATTGCTGAAAATATTGCATATGGTTTAGAAAATGTTCCAATGGAAGACATTATCAATGCAGCAAGAAAAGCTAATATTCATCAATTTATTGAACAATTACCTCAGGTTAAATACTACAAAATTATATCATGTATCTATTACTATGTATCATATTTTTTTCCAGGGTTATGAAACAAAAGTAGGGATGAAAGGCAGCCTTCTGTCAGGTGGCGAAAAGCAACGTATTGCTATTGCTCGAGTTCTTCTTCGTCAACCCAAAGTATTGCTCTTAGATGAAGCTACAAGTGCCATGGATTCGCACAATGAACAAGTAAGTTTTTTTTTTCTATTTATCAATTAAAATTCCATCTTCATTTTTCAATAATAGATTGTACAAGAAGCTCTTGAACAAGCCCAAACAGAAGATTCTAGTCGAACATCACTCATTATTGCTCATCGCCTTTCAACTATTCGTTCATGTGATTTGATTTGCGTACTTGATAGAGGATACATAGTGGAGAGTGGTACTCATACAGAATTGACACAACAACATGGTGCTTATTATAAAATGCTTGCTCAAAACAATTTACAATGATCATCAGCGAACTATTTTGAAAATAAAAATAGACTTTGTTGAACGTTAAGAGAAACTTTGCCTAGTAAATCTCATGCATAATATACTTACATTACTCAATTTACTGTACGATTTTTTATTGTCGGTGAGAAGTTGAGTGTTTAATCGAACTATAGTGTAATACATTGATTCTTTTTAATTAATTAGTTATATCTGACGATATTACAGACAATGATGATCTTAATTATTACTTAGACTATGATTATTTTATATAACAACAATTAAAGAAGAATATACTATTTCTATACTTTTCCATGAGGTGATAATTGCGTCAAAATCGACCATTTTATCGTAATTTATTAATTAGATTTATTGTGAGATAATATCACGATGAAACCATCCAAACACATGGTTTCTGCCGATTTCTTCTTGATTCTTATTGAAACGCACGACTTTTTAATGACTTTTGATGATTCATAATTTATAGTTTACTCAAGCGCTCTCCCATATATTTATTAACCATTGACTAGTATCAGTTTGATATCTGATCAACCTCATACACATGGCAATGACGATTAGGGATGCAACGGTGACGATTATTCACCGGTTAACCGTAGGTACGGTTACCGGTCTAGCTACGATAACCGTAGGTACGGTTACCGGTCTAGCTACGATAACCGTAGGTACGGTTACCGGTCTAACCACGGTAACCGGTCCAAGTACGATAACCGTAGGTAGTTATCGGTTCAAACCCGTTATCAAGAAAAACAGCATTTTTTAAGAAAATAACAATATTTTATAAAGGTTAACGAAAGTAAATCGAGGTTGAGGAATCCGAATCTGAAGTCGGCTTTTGAAAGTTTTGAATTGAATCTTTTCGACAAAGGAAAGGATTTTTTAGAAAAATAATGATATTTTATAAAGGTTGACGAAAGTAAATCGAGGTCGAGGAATCCAAATCTGAAGTCAGTTTTTGAAAATTTTGAATTGAATTTTTTCGACAAAGGAAATGGTTTTTTTAGAAAAATAATAATATTTTATAAAGGTCGACGATAGTAAATCGAGGTCGAGGAATCCAAATCTGAAGCCAGTTTCTGAAAATTTCGAATTGAATTTTTTCGACAAAGGAAAGGGTTTTCTAGAAAAGTAATAATATTTTATAAAGGTTGACGATAGTAAATTGAGGTCGAGGAATCCGAATCTGAAGTCGGTTTTTGAAAATTTTGAGTTTTAGTTCTTCGCATATGATGTTTTTCAGGAATAAAGTTTTGTAGGAAAAAAGACGACTTTCAAGAAGCGGTTTAGTCTTGAGAAGAGAAAATTGAAATGTTCGAGGATCTAATTTCAGATTTGGATTCCTCGACCAGATTTGCTTTCTTGAGTCTTTATAAATAATCATTATTTTTTTTAAGAAAATCTTTTTCTTCGTAATTACCTGCTTGGGCCAATAATCATAGCTATACCCACGATTATCATCACGGTTATACCGATATTTGTAACTTCTTTATGGTAAATGATGAAATAGCTGCTGCTAATGTTGCTCAACAGATTGTTTGCATTGAAAAGCCGTCGATGGTCTTTATTAGCTGATTTAGATGTTTATTCGAAAACTCAACAGTTTCGCCTTATGAGTCTATGAAAATCGTCAAATAAGCGATCAATTATGGCACCTGATTATCCATTTGATGAAGTTAGGAAAGAATTGTTATTTTGATATACTACGGAAATCTTTCATTTCTATTACAATCAACATAGCCGCTCCATTATTTATCTTAAAAATGAAAATTTATTTTCAATAAAAAAATTCAGAATAGAATCAAGAATGTAATCGTATAGTTAAAATTATTATGAAAAATAATAATGAAAAGGACATAGTACTTTTTTAAATATAGAGAAGGAGGGTGTGAGTGTGAGTGTGCGTGTGGGTGTGGGTGTGGGTGTAAACAGAGCATATACACCCACACCCCACACCAACATCCACATCTACACCCACACCCCACACCAACACCCACATCTACACCCACCCACCCACACCCACATCCACCCACCCACCCACACCCACATCCACCCACCCACCCACACCCACACCCACACCCTCAAGAATGACCACCATTTGATGTTGTGAGAGTGCTTCTAGTGATTATTCCTATCAATATTTCAGGGATCTTTAGATTCAATGGAAAAATCTTCTCTGAATAGATGGTTATTATTATTGCAAAAGAAAAGGAAATCTTTCTTTGTGAAAAAACTATTTTCAAATTCGCTTCGTTCTCGTTTGGATTTCGGTTTATAGAAGCGAATTTTTCTCGAGACTTTTGGATAAATTGAGTTTTCTACAAATATTAACGGCAGCAATCATCGTGGTCAATATGTTACAAACAGCTAAAATTGTAAAAAATAATCCTTCATGAATAATTTGCACGATTTGTACGGTAAATGTCAGAACAATCGATGTAGACAGTTGCTGGACAAAAATATTTGCCGCAATAATACTAGCTGAATGTTCTTGATATTTCACTGTAAAGTATGAAACAACACCAGGACGAGATGCTGCTTGACCAAATCCAGCCAATATTTGTCCAAGTATAGGAACTGAAACATGTATAGCATTTTGAAAAGTCCATCCATAAATACTCAAGCCAATACTTATTAATATGGAAAATAATAATCCAGGGAGCATACGTCCTTCGAGAACTTTAGAGTCTTGAAAATATTTGATTGTTATTAAATCAGATAATTTTCCGCCGATGACACTACCGATCAAAAAAGCTGAGGCGATGGGGATGAATAGTATACCAATTATGTCTGGTTGGAAGAAATACGGTGCTTCACCCAATTCAGTAGGTGCAAGCAGAAGACTACAATTCACTGCTATATAACTGCAAGTTAGCACAACAATATAGGGAATAATTGTGGAATCGATAAGATATGATAATGGCAAACATGGATTTGTTAATGTTGGTTTAGAAACTTGATCTAGTTCCAGCACGATTATTTTTCGTTGAATCTGATATTTACATATCACTTTATAATGCTGAGTTTCAGGTACAATGAGCACATAGCTTATGAATAAAACAAATGCAATCATTGCAACTAAAGTAAATGTAGATCTCCATCCATAATACTGACATATCTCTCCACCAAGAGCGGGCCCCAAAAGACCAGCAGCAAAATAAAATGCATAAAAAACTCCATATGGAGTTCCACGACTGTTCGATTGATATATATCAGCTATTGTTCCTTGTCCTATAACTACCGATACGGAGATAAAACACCCTTGTAATGTACGGAAGAATAACATTATATAGATATTCGGGGAGAAGTAACATCCAATTGAACACAGAATAAATGCAGCAAGGCCAAATATTGCTATCGGCTTACGTCCATAATAATCTGCGAATACACCCCAAATAAGACTGGAAATACTCATTGCAAACAAATATATACTAATTGTTAATAAACCAAATGTTTTTGTAGTTTCTAGATCTTTAACCATTTCTAATAATGCTGGAAGATAAGCAACTTCGTCAAATGAAGCTAAAAAGCCGAAGCAACATATCAGAAATAGTATGATATTTTTTTTGCATTTATCATATGTATCATAAACACTTAATGGTGTTGTTGTAACGGCTATACCTTGCTCTTGATCAGATATAGACTTCATTTAGCTGGAATTATCTATAGCAGTAATAAATATTTTTTTTCAAAACACTCGGATCGTGACAAGAAAAATAAAAGAGAAGGGAATCGAGACTGACACAATGATTTTGACAAAAAAGTCGAATATTAAATGTTGTTTTACTTCTATCATGTATCGTGTCATGACAAAATATTCTGCCAGAAATGAATTTTTACAGCAGGTAAAAATGAAAACAAAAGAAAAGGGACGTCTGGATGAAAAACTTAGAATGATGTAGGATCTTGAGCCTGAAAATTTTTAAGCACTATTCTTCAATACAGTTCATTTTACTAAAGACTTAGATTTAAAATATACATCCAATATCGATGTAAATGGCCAATTCAATATTATAAAGTCTGATGTGTCAAAAATAACAATATGAATACACTTAATCAACCAGGATTACACTCTTCTAATTTTTTTTTGTAGAATACTGTGTGGACTTATTTTACAAAAAAAACAGAGTACGACTTACTTATCTGGTTCAAGGACAGTTTGTAATATGGGAATGAAATGCTGTCTGGTAAGTCTAACTCGCATTTCTACTTTCATTTTTTTTCTCTTACATGATTTAGTCATTAGTTTAAGGCGTACACACATGCCTATTTCTCATCACTATCTGATTTATTGAAAGAGTAACGATACGAACGAAACAAAAACATTACAAATCAAGAGTCTATAGTCCAACCAAATGTCCTACGCCTACCTAATGCCTTTCTATTTTACTGATATCGTTTTTAATAAGGAATTAGTGCTCAACATTTATTTCGATATTGAAAGCAGCAACCGTCCTGGATCAGCTATTAAAGCGAACGGATAGATGGGTCAGAACATAGGCATCATCGTTCCCGATCATCTGGAAGAACTCATGCTCCAGGTTGAGAAGAACGGTTAGAAAACGCTCATTCTTATTCATCTGTAGAGTGTATCAATCGATTTTTGACTTGTCATCCGTGAAGTAATGGAAGAAAAAGCACATTTTATCGTAGCTATTTGATTTCACGCGAAACTGTATCGTAGCTTTGATACATAATAAAGAACGTAATAAGATAGAAGCGTGGGTGGGTGTGAGTGTGTCGGTGTTCCTCTCATCCACACCTATACCCATACCCACACTCAAGATCGTGAAATAATAAAATTGAAATTTGACAGTTTCTGCAGAAAAAATTAACTTTTCATGAAAATACGACTTTTTCAATCATTCAAGTTTTTCAAGATTTTCTCCAGCCAAATAATGATCTATTCGAAATAAAAACTATATATTCGGGATCAGCTTTGCAGGCTCTATCAAACCATATAAAATAAATAAGAAAAATCCAGTCGAATTTTGTATTTTCTGCACCTTATTTCAATATTTGTTCGAAAGCCTTCTGATCGAGAGAAGTTGCTTGACAACATTCAAATAATTTATCGCATTTCTTATTCATCATTATTGTTTTTTTACACAGTTGTGTGATTAAACTTCGCCAACACAAATATTCACGTACCTCGTAAATGAATATTCGGACATACCTGAATGATTCTTGTTTATTCATAGTTATTCATTAATGATTCATTTTTATATAATATAAAAACGATGAGAAGAGAATAGGAAGAGCAAGGTAATTAAAAAGAAATCAAATGTTGGCAAATAAAACTGAAGTTAAAAATTATTCGACAACAAACAATGTCGAATATCTTACATCACCATCAACATGTACTGTTGAAAGTTTTCATTCATCAGATTTTAATATTACTAGTGATCCATTGACTAATTGGAAAGAAACTTATCAAAATTCATTATCAAGCTATGATGTTGATGAATTAACTAATCAATTAGGTGTAATAGATTATAGTAAGTGTTCTCTAGATCGACAAGATTCAAATTCGGAACATATTCAACATAATAATAATGCACAAATTCCTTATGAACAAGATACGACGATGGAAAATTTAAAATCACCTATATCACTTTCATCAGACTCTGTTACTAATGATGAAAATCATTCTTCTAAAAATTCATCACTGATTAGCACTCATGAATATTCACCTGTTCAATCTCCCATTAATTCACCTCATATCGTTGCAACTGTCGAACAACAAGAATCATTACCACAAAAGGCTCAATCTGTAATTATTGAAAATTGGTCTTCCTATGAAACATCTTCTGAACGATCTGTTACAGTCGAACAAATTCAACAATTAATACAAAGAGTAGCATCAGAAAGTACAGCTTATACATATGATGTTCCTCATACTGATGTTGTAGGAAATTTTCATCACATTATAACTATTATTAAAGATCCACATATGTATGATGCTCAAAATGATTCAAATATAGTATCAAATGGATATGTTATAGATACAGAGCCAACATTTAGTATGGGAAATGATAATGTACAAATGACTCATATGGAACCAACACCTTTTTCATCAATAACAAATCATTATCATGATTTCCAAGTTATCGACTCGAATGTTAATAGTCAACCACTGATAACTTACGAAAAAAATGATGAATCAAATACATCTCAATTGATAATAGACGAAAATGGCGAATACATAGAAATACCTGCAGAAGAAATCATCTTACCTGATGAATGTCATTCGAATACAAATGATGTTTATCAATCAAATGTTTTACATGAAGAATATATTTATAATTAAGACTTCGTCCTCTTTTTCCTCTCTACATGATAGTAATCCTAAAGAAAATAGTTTTTAATCAAGAAGCTTCACTATATATTATTTAAATAAACTCAAATATATTACGTGGAAATGTGCAATAGATTTGCATGATACTTTCGAAAACAAGAAGTTAAGAAAATCTAAATACTTATGAGATTATAAATTGTTAAACAAAATAAAGAGATTAAAATAATAATGAAAAGGATGCAATTGAATATTTATGAGTTGTCTTTTATTCTTGATTTTATAAAGGGTATAGGTGTGGGTACGAGATGTAGAGGGAAAAGATTCTAACCCATACTCCACACTCAAACTCAATCTCACATACATCTCATACTTCAACTGACATTTGTTATTTCAATATTTATTCTAACAAAAAATGAAAAGCGTGACATAGATATTATTCAAACAACATTTTCACCAGACTCAATTTCCTTGAGTAAATTTCGATAGTTTATATCAAAATCTCTTTTTGTAAAATCAATATAGAGCAATTCAGCTGAAATTAGACCAAGCCATCCATTAGGATCGTATTTTTCTTGGAGTCTTAGTGGAATAAGTCGTTTACGTTGCTTACATGCATATGTTAATTCTTTACGACAATTGTCTGATTGTCTATATTTTTCAGTCATTCCAAAAAGAACTATTTGTGATTGTTCAACTGCTTTAGCCATTGCCGTATAGATACATCCATGCATATTCTGAACATCAAACCATACTGTGTATCCATCTGATTGGAGACGATCATAGATTTTCTTACATATAGTTTGACTATCCCAGTTATAACTGATCATCAGACGCTGTTTCGAAGTAGATGTATGATGTTGATCAGATTGAGTCGCACGACTTTGATTTTGCTGCGAACGGCGGCATAGACCAAAACAAAAATTTGTATGTGCTATTGCTACGTGCTTTCGACCTGACTTTGGGTCTAATGGCACCGATTGTGTTAGTTGTGCTAGTGGCATCGGTGCTCGTGATTGTTCTAATAATGACGACGATGAGGATGATAATGAAAAACGGCTGGAATGTCCCGCATGATTTGTGGGCATACAGGCTATCATACTATCTGTCTGTGGTATGCTCTCCGATTCTTGAATATCTTTATACACATCTTCAACAGTTTGTTCTAATATTTCTGATGTCTTGTGTTTAAATGGTTGATCATGAAATCGTACGTTGCCATTAAAATCACATGTTCCACCTAGGTCGTATATTCAAGAATTTTAAAAACAAAAAAGCAAGTGTAAAAATTTAAATATCTGATCTTTTTTTTTAATCTGATTTTCAATTGAAACTAAATCATATATTTAACGAATTTTCAAAAGTATTTCTTTTGAAGCTAAAGATATGATTCAAATGTAAGCTAGTCATTTTCTAACAATAATTATTCATCGGGAATAACGAAATCTTAAGTAATATTCCAATAGCAATCGACCAATGATGAATCAATTTTTTCCTAATCAAAATGAATAAAATAAATTATTCATACTTTGTGATTTTCCCTAATCAGACGCGTATATTTAACTTTCGAATTCTATTTGACATCAATTAGGAAATGTTAGATAAACAAATCTCATTAGTTTTTCTTTCAAACATAGACTGTTTTATATTGCTATATAATTTCTCTTTGACTCTGTTTTATTGTGCTTCATTGCATTGTGCAAGTTCTATAGTGTCTCCTTAGTGACATGGAGAAAATCAATCATTTTCTAATACGGATAGATATTGAAATTTTCTGACAAATCAAGTTTTAATAAATTTGTTTTTGAAAAAATATTTATGTTTTGAAATTGTCTGCTGAACTATTTTAATTCATAAAAGTACATTAACATCAGTTAAAATCGTGCATGAATTGATACAGAGCTTATCGAATCTTTAAAGATTTTTCAGTCTCAAAAGAACCCAAAAAAGGTTTCCTCTAGGATCAATAATTTGTTTTGAACATTCGAGATCAAGTTTTTGCTAAAATAGTAACTAATCGAGAGAAAAAAAAAGAATCTCTGATGTTCTTTGGTAGATTACAACTTAGTAACAGAGATGCACTAGCTTTGATTTTCGACAATCATAAATAATCAGACTTGTTCGAACTTGAAATCGAAACTGCTAATATTCAGTTAGAATCAGTACTGATGCATTCCCTACTCAATAATAATTCAATGAATTAAAATTAATCTTCGAGAGAATTTTCATCTTTATTTCAACATTATTTATTCACAAGTCTCCACAGAGAAATCTTCTTCTAAAGGAAAACTCAGTTAATTATTAAAATTTCGAGCATTAGTCATATAATCGATAAAAAATAACTTTATTAGGTGAAAAAATTTGAAGAAACCAGAATAGCTTCATGTCTCTAGCCTACAGTCTTGGTGCAGTATGTGTAGACTTGTAAAAGTTTCATATCGATGTCGATTACTCGAATTGCTGAAAATTCTTTTCGAAGAGAACTGAATCGTTAAAACAGTTTTGATGACTATGCTTCTACGAATATTTTATATGTTCTTACTAGACAAATTTGTCTTTTTAGATAGATCATATAAGAGCAGAGTTGGATTCTTTTCTCGTTATTGATTGTAAATTTGATCTATTTGAAGATACAACATTTAAGAATGATATTTAAACAAGAGAATGACGTCATATGAGAAAAAACACGATATTCGACTACTCGTAAGAATTATAGAGGCAGAAACAATTACCAAGACGAACAAATCATTCGTTCGAAAATTTATACCTTAGTTTTATCCTGATGTGTGAGTTACAATGTAGCACAACTTTTCTAGTTCTCGCTGGAATGTATGTTTGATCTTTTACTGTTACTGAGCTTGGAAAATGTATAGGGAATAGATGTATATACATTGATAGATTATCAAAATGAACTTTAAAGTTACTGGTGTGTTATATTGGTTGATGAATCCAGTGCTTAGTACGAACACAGGAGAAATTTGCACAATATTGTTCACTCCAGTGTTCTGCATGATATCTGTTTATACAACCCATATATCTATTCTCTTTGCACGTTCCATATAACTAAATTGGTATTAGATAAAAAGATTATTTCATCGAGTTTTTAAGTTAACTTCTAGTATTTAGGCTACAATATTGATTAAAAATCTGATTTTTTTTCCTTGCATTTTTATGCACTATGGGAACAAAGAATATGATGATGAAATTTAGTAAATATAGAAACTATAGAAAAATATTTATATATCAATCAGTTTTGATCACAAAATTCATTCCAATAGTTGAACTTCTTTAACAAGAATAGAACAAAACATGTATACAAAAGTTTCGAGACTTCTTGCATGGATAAAAAGGGTGTGAACTGGGTGTGGATGTAGATGGGCAGAAATAAGACGAACAGAGCATGCCCAACTCCACTTCCATCCCCATACTCTCACACCCAACATCCACATTCACCCCTTTCAACTACATATTGTTTCAATAAAAGAATGAAAAAGTAATCAAATATTTTTGTTTGTTTATAGTTTTCTGTTTCCTCTCTTACCTCCAACTTCTACTTGACAATTTGTTTCTTCACATTCATCGTATCTTTCTGGAACCTGTAATTGCCCTTTTTCTGAAAGAAGATCACGTACAATACTTCCATCATCTTCACCTTTAGCAAGCCAACGACGACATGGAAATATAAATGTTTTAGTTTTTTGATTTTTATCTAATCGACGAATTTCAACGTGATCTAAATGCCATGATGCACCTATTTTCAAAAAAAAATTTAAATTAAGTATCATGCAATTGGCTATTTCTATTTTCACCAAAACCACGATTATCATGTCCAATACGAATTTTTTCAATATCTTTGCCAACATCTTCAAGCTCAAGTACAAATGTATCAACTGAATCTGTTCGGAATTTGCCTTTTCGATCTGTTTTACCACATAACATAACTTGACCAGTTGTTTTTTCAACACCATATATTTCAATATGAACATTAGCATCTGTTCCAGCGCCAGAAACTTTTGATGTAAAAACTTTTATTTCATATGGAACGTCTATAAAAAAATATTTAAAAAAAAATTTGCTTATTCGTTTTTTATTCTCACATGGTTTATAAGCTTCAGTGGCCATACTTTGTGGATAAAGTTCAACTTCTAATTGACAGTCACCTTTCGATGTACTTAACCATTTTCCACATGGAAATATCCATATGCGACCAAATTTAGGTACATCGATTTCAACACGTTCCAATAACCAATCTGGTCGAAAACCTGAATCATCATGACCAATTCTAAATAACAAGAAAAAAAAACGCATAATAATTTCATTTTTGAGATAATTATTTGTACTTAATCTTTTTTGGTTCACCAATATCCATAGCTTCGATTTCGAATACATCAGTATGATCTCGGTCGAATGGATCGCTATATGTTTTTGATGTTACTAATGGAACTTTGCCTATTAATCATATAACAGTTATTTCTTTTCACTTTCATTGAATATAGTCACTCAAACCTGTATCATTATTCTCTCCAAATATGATAATATAAACATTAGCATTTGTACCACTACCAAATTCATCCGACGTAATAACACTAATTTTATAAGTGGTCGCTATGGCTGTAATTAAAGAATAAAAATCAATTGAAATAAAATTTAAACAAATATAGAAAACGTGGAAAAGAATAAACTTTAAATTCTAATGTAGATTTGTATTTTAAATGGGGAAACAACATAAATAACGATAAGACATAATTGATAAGAAAAGCTAGGTCAAACAAGAAAACTGTTATTACAATTTCAATAATTGCTAACGATATACAAATCCGAAGAAACAAAAAGCAATAGATAAATTTGATGATACATGTTAATCGTACGAACCACGATGAATACGTGCTGGAGAAAAGAAGACATCCAAAGTGAAACAGTGCGGATATGATTTATACTTTTCGATGATTTATTTAATCAATTTTGAGAAAACTTACTTTTCATTTCTAAACCGTAATCAACTGATGATCTAGCAGAACTTTCACGTGCAGCTGCTAAACGTAGTGCTTTATTTTCAAGTGCAGGAATTTCACGAGATATTAATCCATCATCTTTATCAGTAGCCAACCATTTTTGACAGACAAAATGATATCTTTAAATAACGAAAAAAAAAATACTATTGAATGATTTTTATTTTTGTTTTCAATTTTAACACTTACAGTTGATTTGTTTCTGGATCAGTAATTTCCACTCGATCAAGATACCATGCAGAACCAATCTAGAGAAACAAATCGAAATACAGAACCGCTAACGTTGTAGATATAGTGAATATGTACAACAAGGTTATTTCACGGTGAAATCAATGATCAATAGTATTAATAAATTGAGAAAGATCAAATAAAAATTCTATTCGAAATGCAGAAATAAATAAGACCGATCATTTCTCTGGTAATCAATCATCACTGGAAGATGATTATTTGCTATTAGTAATTTTTCCTTTTACGTATTTTATATTAATATAATGAAGATGCAGAACATATGTAAGTTTCAAATTTTAGTTCCAAAGAAGCTGCGCTGAAAAGCCTTTCTTTTTAAACAGAGTTAAATAAAGACTGTTTTCATCATCTCATATAATTAGTAGAATAATTTATTATTTATTCATAGTTTCTTCTCAAAATTTCCAAAAAGAAACAAAAAACAATCTTATCTTTTCAATTTCTCAGTTAAACTTTATTTTATGAAGTCGAAGTATTAAAACTTATCTTGAATATTCGATCTTGCTTACCCAAGTCAATCAAAACGGATATCGTCTACAGTCCGTTTTTCGTCAATAAACAGTGGAAAAAATAGCCACTTTACGACAGTCAATTAAACGTATTTTCTCTTAATCCCGGACACAGTAATACGGCACCATATACGGTCGTAACCTCACTATGATACGGGCGTATTTCTGCACAAAATATTTTTTGATCTGAGTAGTTCAGTACTCTTATCTACTACAAAGGATATTGAATGTTAGAAGTACCGGTACAATTCTGTTGTAAAGAGCTCATCAAAATTTCTTCTGCGAATCTACTAAAACTTGAGTTTAAGTGTCAGGGGTGTTCCAAGATCGCTAGGATTTGGAAGAAAGTGCTCAATGACTCAGGAGATTGATTAGAAAGTCTATGCTGAAATTCATCGGGTTTTGCAGAGAATCGAGCGGTTTTTTGAGAACTAGTGAGCAAAAAAGCGAACGAAAGACTGGAACATTTTACATTTCTCGAGTTAAGTTGTGCATATCAACATGACTTTACTTTCTCAAAAAATTCATCAGATTTACACGGAGGATCTTTTTTTTTTTCATTAAAATTCTAGAATTTGACGAAGATCACTCGTTACATAATAATCATACATTTGAATCATCATGTCGAATTTTAATTTTTTTCAATTTGCCTAATCCTGCAGCTTTGATTTCAAAAACATCTTTCTATAATAAATATGAAAGAAAAATAGTTATTAGAAAAGTCGAAACGAAAAAACAACAAACTTGATTTCGTTCAAATTTATTCCTATTTGTTTTCGATTGTTGTAATTCACGTTCACCTTTAATAATAATTAGTTCAATCAAATCTTATCATCAGTTGAATTCTCTACCTGTATCTTCAGATTCACCATAGATTGTTAGAAAAACATTTGCATCTATACCAGCTCCAGACTTGTCACCAGTAAAGACATGTACCTCATATGTTAGTTCTAAAAAAAAGAAAATTTATTTATTTGTTTGTGTTACATTAAAAACAAAAAAAAAACTTCTTATCTTACCTTGTCGATCGCTTAATATATTTCCTTGTTCATCAGTTGGTAATAATTCTCGAACAGTTGCTTTATCACCTGAACTTTTATCAAACCATTGTCGACAAACAAACCAATATTCTTCGACATTTGGATCGGTTGCACTTATTTGACTAAGACGTTGTGATCGACCAGATTTAAAACCTAAATATATATATATTTGATAAATAAAAAAATAAAATAAAATTTCATTATAAAGTTTAACCTCGTTTTTGTTTCTCAGGTTGTTCACTTAAATGTCGTTGAATAAGTACCTAAATGAAAATTTTTAATAAATTATGAAAACAAAAATCAAATACAATTTTACTTTTTCAAGATACCATGCTGAAGTGAATTTTTCTGAATTATGACCAATTCGAATTTTTTGTATTTGTCCTATATCAGGTGCTTCTATTTTAAATTTATCTACCTAAAATATGAATATATAAAATTATTTTAAATATAAAAATAATTTCTACCGATTTTCGTTCGAATAAATCTGATTTATTTTTCAAAATAATTTCTTCTGTTTTACCATTTAAACCATACATTTGAATAAATACATCTGCATCTGTACGAGCACCCGATTTATCACCAGTAAAAACTGTTACTTCATATGGAATAACTTAAAAGAAAATATTAATTATTTTCTTCAAATAAATTTGTAAAAATCATAATCAATAAGTTACCATGACTTTTCTTGATTATATCAGATGGTATTAAATCAAGTTCAATTTTACCATCGGCTTCGTTTTTATCTAACCAACGGTTACAGACAAATCTATTGAAGAAAATAAATTAAACATTTTTTTAATAGATAGTAAGTAGAACATTAAAATTATATCTTTTTTTCTATCGATTGATTTCTATGATATGAACTGACAAGGAAAGTTTTCCAACTAATAAATCACTCTTGAGTTGAGACGAAGTATATAATGTAGATCCAAATGAGATATGAATGCCTTGAAAAGAGATAGTGTGTTTAGCTTATTGCTACGATGATACTGCACCTTTACAGCATTTCTTTTTCAATGAATGCCATGGTAACAGAAAAACTGACTTTTCAAATTTTGACTTGAAACTTTGCCTAGAGACAGACCTTAACGAAACTAGCTTATATTGCTCATATAAACTGGCAGATTTGATGTTCTTATTTCAGGATAGAATGAAATCAAACTATTCTCAATAAGACCTGTATCGATTCATACAAAATTGTGATCGATTGTTTAAATCTTATATGATTTTTTTTTCAATTGAAAACAAGTACAAAATGTTTAGAAGAATTATTTAGAATTACCATATAACATACTCACTCATATTATTAATATTATTAAACTACTATTGAAGAGATTGTCAAGAAAGAAAAGTTTATTCTCATAAAGTCCATATCTGTTTAATAGATATTACTACTAGTTTGAATAAAACTGTAAAATAAAATTTACCAACATAAACTTTACCTATAAAGTTCTCCTCGCATTGGTATATCAATTTCTATCCAATCAAGAAACCATCTACCTTCAAAATTTTTTGCATTATGTCCAATAATTATATGTTCAATCTATAAATAATCATAAAAAATTATTTTTATAACAAAAAAAGAAAAAGAAAAACATTACGAAATACTAACTTTGCCAAGATCATCAAATTCAAATGTAAAATGATCAATACGTCCTCGTTCAAATTTATTTGATGTGTTATTAGCTGTTCTAAGTTGAATTTTATCTGTATCACCGCTTTCACCAAAAATTTTCAAATATACATCAGCATCAGTTCCAGCTTGAAAAATATCTCCAGTTTTTATTCTGATATTATAGGTCGTTTTATCTAAATGTTGTGCTGTTGTTGTAAGAGTTAATTCTCGAACAAGTCGTCCATCATCTTCATCAACAGCAAGCCATCTAGAAAAATATTATTTTTATTAAAAATATTTGTTTTTTTGTTTTTTAGTTCATATACCTATTGCATCCAAATGTTGCTGATTCATAA